GCCAAGCCAAACCAACTACGAGCTGCACTAACTACGGCACAGTGTTCACGCCAGCCCCCAAGGAACCGCTGCCTTACAGTGCCTGCTGACAGATGTTACAGGCAATTGTGAAAGGTACACGGAAAAAAGTTTCAGTTAAGGTCAAATGTATGGAATGCGCAGTCTAGAGAAGGGCTAAATAAGCACAAAGGACATCATCCCTGCTAAAATTCTGACAAATAAATCGTAACGGTATTAGTATCCAGGAAAAAAAAAAATAGGGAAGGGAGGGGAAAAAAAAAGGCTCTCAAAGGCAAAGAATGGAAATAAACAGGACATCGGTCGCTTATTCATCAAGACAGCATTCTAGACACGTCCACAGCCTACCAAATTTGAAACAAACTGCTGCTGTTCGCATTGATCTGACCTGTCATTACCCACCTCAACACACAAGAAACTGTCTTCATCAAGCCAATTAATCAATTTCTCCAAAACCTCGTTGTATTACTTGAATGCTTACTTGAATGCTTTATTGAAGTAACTACCAACTTCACATCCCCTTCCTAATTTGAGATGTTCTAGGACCCCCAGAGGTTGTATTATTTTCATTTATAGTCTACTGTATTAATTTTTTTAAAATAGCTTTTCTAAAAGGGCAGAATTCAAGCTGTTATCAGCTGAACACAAATTTCACTTTTGAAACTGGTAACTGCAGCTTTTTCTTTGACAAAAATAGTTAATATAGGCAAAATACGATGGCCTTTCCTCTCCTTTTCCAATCAAAAAATGCTCGGAAAAGCTTAGCAGAAATTACACAATCAGTTTTGGGAAGCATGATTACATTACAAAGAACTGTACATATTCTCTAGAAGAGCAGGGAAGTTTTCATGCGGGATTCTGTCAGCCAGCCAACCAATCACTTTAACATGCTTTGGATGATTTTTCTGGGCACGGTTATAGCTTCTTACCACTGTACTGCCACTGTGATTTACATCTATAAAATCTGGCAGCAGCTACAAAAAACATAACCCAAAAAAGGCAACTGAATCTCTAGTTGGCAGGCACTCATCTACAAAATCTGTAACGACTTGAAGTCTAGCTGTTAAGAACTTTTTAAAAATATGAAAATTAAAGATTTAATCAAAGAAACACATTCAAGAAAGCTCAGCAACATGAAGAAGGGATACAGGAGAGAAAGACAGCTGAGGAAGATGACAGGCACAACCGACACTGTTACTTTTTTAATAGAATTATTATTATAGTATTGTCCTACATTACCTTGTTTTCCAAGTACGTGTCATCACTCACCTCCATCAAAGATATGATCCCTTTTGGATGCCAATAAATAACAAAAATTAAACAATCTCAGTACTTGATGTTTCTTTAGGATTATGAAAAATGAGGGAATGGCGTAAGCTGCATTTCAGTATCATGAACTGATTAAAGAAAATTAAATTAAAGCAGTTAAGTAGGAATGAGTGTATTTTTAAAGAACCAATTTGTGTTTTATCAAAAGAATTCCGAAGCACAAATTGACAATTTTGACAAATGCTTCGAAGAATGAACAAGCCCATGACGTTCATCAGGCTATTTAAAAAAAAAAAAAAAAAAAAGGGAAGAGGAGGGTGGAAAACAGGAAATATTGTGAATCAAAGCATCTCAAAAAACTCAGTAGACTTTTTATGGGCAGGAAATTAAAAGTTGTAGTATTGGTACCCTGAAATCCCATGCTAGGACAAGTGTTTGTATAAACTGCCAGGAAAAGAGAGAGGAGTAAATTTTAAAGAGGCAATTATTTAGTTATCCCGAGATTAGAGAAGATGGGGAGTTACTGGCTCCAACAAGCTACAGGAATCGGCACCGCACCATCCAAAGGGAAAAAAAAACCAAACAAACAAACAACAGCAATCACTAACTTCTTACATATTGTCTTTGGTTGTTTAATATCAAGAAATACTTTTTACAGAATATGTGAAGACTATTCCTTTTAATTTCATTCTGCGTCAATATCTTCTCTGTGGCCTCTCTGGTAAACTAGAGGACAGGCTTTAGTTTCTCTGAATTGTTTGTTGTTTTCTACATTTTTATCACATACCTTTTCAGAAGTCAAATTTCTTTCATTTACAGGCTTTTGTACCAAAATGGTATAACTAGAACAGACTTTACATTGTATAGTGAAGGTATTTTCCTTGTGTTATAACCTTAGAACATACTAAAACCATTTTCCACAAGATACTACTGAACTTACAGCAGGATTTAGGAGACAGGAATGAACATTTGTAATAATAGTAATAAAAAAAAACCCATCCAAAGTTACAGTAGCAAGGATTAAAAGTATGATCTCTAAGATTTTAAAATGACTCCTTTAAAAAGCCTTGTAACAGAAAGGAGTTTTCAACACATGGCGAGAGCCACTCAGTAGTTGAGGAGAGGGGAGTGGGAGGCAAAGAGATGTTTAGGCTTTTTCCCCCGATTTCCTTGCTGTCTTGCCAATTAAGCTTAGAATGTTTATCAGATGTATGATAAATGTAAGAAATGGAGAGTAGCGTACACTTTTAGTGGTATTTCGATTGGACTATATACAGTATCTCCAATGCCTGCATCAAAAGCATTCTGAATAATGTCAGATAATAGGAAAAAGAAACCAACAGAAAGGCTATCGATACACCTTTAAAAAACATAACACAAAAATAATTAACCATTGATTTCTTGGCATGTAAAAGTTCTATACAAATTTTAAAAATTTTATTTGCAGGTACTAAACCTCTTGAAAAGCTTACTCTGTATTTACACTAATTCTTTTAACAAGTTTATCTCAAATTAAAGCATATTTAACACAATCATGATTGCATTAACTTTTCTACTTTAAATTATTACCCAATTAGTGCTTTATTCACATTTTAAAAACTTGTACAATTTATTACAAATATAAAACAGTGCAGTTTTTCATACATTATCCCAACTCTGAGACAAACACTTAAAAGACATGGAAAAAGATTTTGATTTCTATAAACATAACATTTGCATTACTCATACCCCTTTCTTCACTGTCCTCCCCTAACCCCGATTTAAAAAGATCAAACATACAACATACTGTAGGTTTATTTTTATTCAAAAAGTTACTGTCTCAAGACATAAATACAAATCAGAAAACAGTACAATTAGGACAATAGAATGTGGAGGACAACAGGTTAAGGTAAATATATAAAACATTTTTAGCTGGTTGAAAACAAAGCTGTAAGAACTGCTTTCACAAAGAAACACTCCTTCAAGAGTAAGAAAAATCAACTTAAGTTTAAAATCATATATACAGTCCTCTCAGCAGTTCTATTAAATGCAGTGGTGTGAAAAACAATATAGGCAGTACTTTTAGACATGAGAGTATTTATTTATGTAAAATGAGTTAGGCAGATCTAGTTTTGAGTAGTTTTGAGTGTTGTTACCCCATGACTTAGTAAAATAATTATATTTTATCATGATCCTTTAGATAATCTATGGTTTTTGGCTACCACAGCCGAATGTTTAATTTCTGAAGTCTAAAAACAGGAAGCCTTTTTGTATTCACCCATTTGGGGAGATTCTTGTATTGCAAGCATATTAAGGCATGGAATGATTAAAATAATATACCTCAAGAACTGAGAGACAACTGACAAAAAATATACATATGTAATATAAGTTAATATTTCCTTTAAAATGATGTCTAGCTGCCTAAGCCTTGCAAAATGAGTCGATGTCAAAATGGCATAGATCCCACTTTCTGTTTTAGACCGAATTTATTTGTGAATGGACACAAAATGAAGTTTAAAGCTTAGCTTTCAAAGAATATTATGGGTTGTTTATGAATTTCTATTATCCAATCAAATTTACATACAGAGGAAATGTACTGTAACCTGTTAGAAGTATCTTTAACCTGAAGACTGCTTGCAAAGACAGATAGATAAAACAATATAAAATACAAATTTAAAAATCATTTTTAAAGCATGAATTCTCATGCTCTTCTATTTTTAAACATTGTTAAAATTTCAATATTTTTCTGAAACCT